AGATTATGAGGGCATCATCCCCAGCTTTCAGGGAGCAGAACAAGCAGACCAGGCAGTCGCAGGGCAGGAGCACTCTCACCGGGCCTCCGGCTGGACTTCACTTGGTGTTGAAGGGCACACTGCTCAGAGGACCGCCTTGGAGCAATAACACTGAACCGTGGGTGCTCAGTCCTGAAGCCCATTGAGCTGTTTCTCCTTGGCTTCCAAGGACTGTGTGATATTCAGATGACACGGATTCAATGCCCTGAACACTACTGTGTGCCGGATTAAAGACACGACCCCACTGTTGTGATCAGAATCTCAATACTTTTCCTAGGTTGGCCACCTCCTCCATAAAAGGGTTCATACCAATCACCTGCTGCTATTCTGCAACACCCTTAGCCATATGTTGAAGGACCTGGGCAGATGGCAAAAGGGACCGTACAGAGGCGGCTCTGTTTTAGCTTACAAATCCACGAACTCCTTGACCTTGGACAAGGCACCATTCTCTCTGGGTCCTGGTTTCTTCATTCAGAAAATCAATAGAACTAGATTATCTTTTAAAGAGCAAATTTTATTGTTTAAAGGGCAATTAGGTATTCTCACAAAGGCCGGGGAGGGACAGTTTCTTTCTGGTACTGTGGGAAGGATCTCCAGAGTCAGGCCTGTGGGCACAAGGCAAAGTGCTTCCCAGTGGTACGTCTATTCCTGGGCATGTTCTTCCATCTTCCACTGACCAGAGACCTGTCCACGTGAGTCGCTCTGAGACCCTGCCAAGCTCTTCACGTGCAGAGGACGAGGTGCAACACAGGCTATCAATTCCATGGCACACTTTTCTGAGCTCTAAGCGCAAATCCATCTTTCATATTGGAAGCTTCCACCCATCAGCAGGGCGTGTTTTAATTATTATTTTAATTTCAAGTTGGCAGAAAGACGCCGTCAGATAGTGCCCTTCCAGGGAAACTCTGGCTTTGGGGGGCTGTTCAAATCTCTGTGCTTTTGGCTCAGGGCTTCTGAGCACATATGAAGCACATATTGGTTCCCCCAAACTGTCCTCCATGCAGCACTTACCCTGCCACGCAGGGAGAACCGCTGCCCATTTCCTGAATGTGCCCAGGTCTCCTGGGACGTGGGACTGCAGGAAGGGAAGGCCTGCGACAGGAAAAACCAGTGTTCCAGGGGCAAATGCCAGACAGCATCCTCCTCGGGTGCCTTGACTTTTGCCGACACACCTCAGGAGGCGCTGGGTGCACACATGATTGAAATACGCCCCTTATTTGTCTTGTTTTCATACTAACTCTACCACCAAAATTTACTTAAACTGATAAACACATTGGTAAAACACTATTTTTGTGTTTTGTAAAAAACTTTGGGGGATGCCAACCGTTGCAGATTGCTCCTGGTGACGGCAATAAGTTCTCATACCAAACATTCCTCTTTTTATGAGTTGAAATAGCACAAGGGCTGAAAGACTGGTAAAAACGGAATTCAAAGTTTTATGTGGCCACGCCAACAGTCATGCATTTTGATTTCTGAAACACAATCCTAAATATTTAATTCTACCATCACTGGAAGATTAGTTCTAGAAAATCCAGTTTTCCCAAAACAAAAGAGAACAAACCTAAAACTGCAAAATTAACTAATGAAGTTTGCACAGATAATTGTCTCTAAATAAGCATTATGATAATGAAATATTTACAAGAGAGTGGAAAGCACAAATAAGAGTGATCATGAATCTCTGAAATCGGACCATTTGTATCTCAGTTGTATTCTTAAAACTTGCCTTGTGAGCCACGGGAGGTCACCCTTCCAAGCTGAGAGTGCATGATGGTTTTCACTGTATTTATTCCGAAACCTGTAGATCGATCATCTGATTTCACATATCTAAAATGTAGTGTTTCTCCCACATGCACACATGGTAAAGTAATCAATAAAAATATTTTGGTGCCTAGCACGCTGCTCATCTCAAAGGGAACCCTAAGCCCAGGCTCAGCCCCATGAAGGGTTAAAGCATTGCAGGTAAGTTGGTGGCCGTTATAAATGGTCTCCAAATAAAAGCCAGAAACAGGAAGCCAAATTCCAGGTCCCTACGGCATGCCTGTGTCTTAAATGACATCATCTGTCAAGTTTCCAGCATCGTCGGTGGGAACACAACAGGAAGGTCTGCCCTGTGCTGGGGACACCCCTCAGCTGCCATGCTCCTCAAGTGCCAGATGCTGGGCTCTCGTTTCATGAGCAGCAGCTACTTGTCACCACACTTTCTGTAGACAAACACTGAATGTGAGGCTAACGACCACTGATTCCTGAGAAGCTTCGTTCAGATGAATCTTTCAACAATTTATAAAACATACCCTGTAAAACTTTTGCTGTCTCTTTTCAAACATTTCCCTGGAGACATATATATATATATATATATATATATATATTTTAATGCTGAAATCAGTCAACAACAATAGTCATTGTCAAAGGGACTGGAAATGATATTGGTATTTTTTTGTAGGCAAAAAGGCACCGAAGGAGAAGTCAAAATTGAATGGTAACAGATCACTGGGATGCCGTCGTCTCTCAAGAGCAAGCTCCTGCCATCCTGCCCGGCCAGTGACCTTAAGCCCAACATGCAGAGAAGGCCACACTGAGAACCGAGAAATGATTTATCCACTGTGATTGTTCTGCCCTGGCCCCTTCTCTAAAGCAAAGACTGACAATGGTGCTGAATTATGGATGCACTTTTCATGATATGTAATACAGTTGAGAGGAAAGGTGTTGGGACCCTCACACCATTTCACCTCCCCAAAGAGACTGGGCTTGAACAACAATCCCAGAGGGTGAGACTGATGCTGAACTATGACCCTCAATTTACAAATCATTTTTCAAAAGAATAAAACAAAAGTTTAAACATATTTTTGGCATTATCTGAATAGGCGGAATCTTTCATGCTTGTTTTCTAAGAATAAATGAAAACAGCATGCACCGTAACTTCTCAGTTTGGGGACAGAGAGAACATGAGGTTTTCAGATTATGTTTTATTTTAAACCTGGGTGTTCAGATTTTATTTTTACAGATCTGAATTTAGTATATACCCTCAAAACATAATAAATTTCTATTCTGTAGCTTAAGGGATCCATCAGATAAAATGTTGGTCTTTCATCTTTATTACTCTCCTATTAAAATGAAAGAAACCGGGACTCACTTCAGTTTAGAAGAAGCAATTTAGTTGGTAATGTCCTCAGTCAAGTCCTTACAGAGGGAGAAAGTGCATTATTGCTTAGATTTCACACATCTATCTGCATAAGAAGCAACTAAGCCTTTCAGACACATACTATGTTAAATTTAATAATATTCTTTGATTAGATTATTTTATTACAAAATTTTTCCATTACCAGTCACTTCCTGTGCGCAGTTAGATTCATAAAACCTGTTTCCCCTGCTTTGTTTGTTTGCACACTCAAGAGCAAGGCAAAGTCTCTTTCTGTTTTGCCACAGCTGTTAGGGCTGAGAGGGACAGATTAATAACTAAGCACCACATTGGACGAGCTTTCTTGTCCCCTGCACCAGGAGCCCTTTGCTATGATGAGGACACAAAGAGCCTCGCATCAGGCCGCTACCCTTCTTCATAACTCAAAAGCGTCACAGTGGCAATAGCCTCTAGTGCTATTTGTCTTTAGTGCAGTTGTGACACTTCGGCATGATCCATAATTTGGCAGCTATTTACCGTGACATTTCCCTTCAGTACAGCCATAACATTCAGTGAAGCCATTATTTGGTTCCATTTACCATATAAATTGTATTGTTGTGCATGCATGCTAGCAGCTACATTAGGTACCTGAAAATGAGTAAATCTTGTAAAATAGATACTAACAGCTCTTCAGCAGTAGGATTTCCTTGCTCCTCAGATGCAAGAGAAGAATTACATCTGCTCCCCAACTTTCCTGGAGCATCTTTAATTGCGTTCATATTTATTGAGCATGTTCGATGCACTGAAACCCAAGACTCTGCAAAATAATCTGGTGGGCTTCACCTTCAATTAGAAAGGCACTGTGGGATCTCGACTTAATGATGAAAGAAGCAGCAGCCTCCGGGCGCTGGAGGTTAAGAGGCAAGTGGATCAGCGTTGGCATGATTCGGGAGAGAAGGCACATGTCGCGCTGCTTCTCATGTGTGGTTGGTGGATGGTGTGTGCCATCAGGCAGCAGTGACAAAACCCATCTCCTTCCAGCAGAATGCTGGACATGAAACAGGACGGCCAGTGACTGCTATTCTGTTTCCATGACCAGAGGTCAGGCCCTTGTTCTCTGTCTGAAAGCCTCCAATGAGAAGCAAGTGTAGTATTATGGACACTCGGTCCCTGAAAGCATGCAGCTATGTGACATGTGCTCCCTCATTACCATCCCCTGCATCTGCCTAAGCTGTGTCCTCCTGCAGTCCACGCTGCATCATGCAGACCTGCACCATAAACACGGCACACACATTTCCCTCCCTGTGCATGTGAATTCTTGAAAGTCCCTTCAAACTCTGCGGTTTCCCTTTGCAGAACCTATTTTCTGTGTCTACAAGTTTTCAATATCAATTCTCTTCTCACAGTAACAGAGACATTTCTCACACGGCAACACATCTTACCAGGATGACTGTGGATGAAACCCATCAAAGAAAGGGTACTTCTGGAAGACAGGTCTGTGTTTTCAGAATCATCTAATACCAACATTGAATTTGGGGAGAATCCTGCCCCAAATGTCTATGTTAAGGCTCTGCAGAAAAAGGGGGGCCCTATTCTGGAGGATAGGACAGTGACAACAGTGCAGACTTGAGTGGCACTTCTCACTTTTGAGCTGCTCATTAGCATAAGAGCAGGCTCCCTCAGAGCAGAGGCAGCTTTGTGAACTGTTTTCAAGACTGATTTTAAAATCTCATCAAGCTGAGGACATACTGATTCCATCAGGTCCTGCATCAGGAATTAATTTACTTCCCTGGAACAATAAAATCTGGAATGAGACCGTCCATGACTAAAGAATCGAATGTAAACGTTTTACCTCTGAGTATGGAGGGAACTTTTATTGGCACTTTTTTTCCCAAGGAAGGAGGGGGAGGAGGAGGGGGAGAGAGAGAGAGAGAGAGGGAAGGGGAGGGAGGGAGGAATGGAGAGATCCATTAACACCTTACTTTTGTTTTAAAAAATATTATATCTATCACAAACTAAAAATAAATGGATTTGAGTAATTCTCGGGCATAAAGTGCTCATTTTCTTTTCCTTTGATTTATGTCATTGTTCAGTTTTTTACAGCTTACTGTTGACAGAGTGAGGTAATTCAACTACAATTTTTCCAGTATTTTTTCCCATGTACATATAATCGACAGCCCGGAATACAGAGTCCAGACCCGTAAACCTGCCCTCTGGAGAGAGGTCTCCCAGGTCCACCTCACAGACCAGGTCCCCACTGGCATGCAGCTTAAGCAAGTGCTTCATGGCCGCCGGGTACTTGGAGAGGTAATGGTTCAGGAAGAAGCCCTGGACGCTGGCAGACTTCCTCAGCAGCTTGGCGGGCAGTGTTGCTGCTTTCACAGGCGAGAGGCCAGTAGGACTTTGGTAGCCAGAGATAAACCCAATTACTATCAAGCGCCCTCTGGTAGCCAAGGCATCTAAGGCCAAGTCAAACATGGCTCCCCCAACAGATTCATAGACCACATCCACACCATCCGGGTACTCCTGCCTGAGGACGGTTCCGAGGGGCTCGGTCTTATAGTTGACAGGGCGATCGCACCCGACAGACTTCAGGAAAGCAGACTTTTCATCAGAAGAGCACGTTCCAATTACATGGCACTTTGCCTTCTTTGAAAGCTGCACAGCAAACTGGCCCGTCCCCCCAGCTGCTGCTGTCACCAAAACTTTCTTCCCTTCTGACAGTTCTCCCAGCTCATTCAAGCTGATATATGCAGTGGTGCCACTTACCAGCAGGGTGAGGTACTCGGGTTTCACCGAGGGCACTGGAGTGGCAATGCTGGCAGGCACAACTGTGTACTCTGCAAAGGAACCAGGTGTCACGTAAGCCACGGCCTGGCCCACTGAGTATGTGGCACTGGCAGAGAGGCCTAAGGCCACCACCTCACCAATGCCCTCGAAACCTATGTCAAAGGGGGGCTTCACCGATGGGTCATAGCGGCCAGCAGAATAGTTGATGTCAGATGCATTAATGCCAACAAATCTACAAGAAAACAAACAAGTCAATGTATTATGAGGCTTTCTTTGTTAAGATATTCACACTCTGTTTAGAAAAAAATATCTAACTCCAGTGACTGTGGAGGGGTTGCTGGGCTAAAGGATCTGACAGAATTTAAGAAAATTCAATCCTGCTGTTCCCCTGGGGTTGGGGGGAATCAAACAAGTACTGGTCACACTGATCTGCACTCAGAGTTTGGGCGCCTTTTATTCTTTCATCAATTTAGGAATAATTTTATATCACTTTAATCGGCAAGTGATTTATTTCACATGCCATTTGCTTTTATCCCCCCCCCCTTTTTTTTTTCCAAAAGGAGAAGTTTAAGAAAAAAAAAAGAGGAAAAAAAGGGAAAAGTCAGGAAGCCTTCCACATACTAACTTCACGAGAGCTACAAGCTGGAAATTAATTGGCTTCTTTAGCAAAGATGTTAAAAACAGTGGGATAAAACACATTCAAATAAGGGCAGATATACTGATTCTGGCAACAACTTCATCCTTCAGATAATAATAGCAATGGCAATGATATTATTAAAGGTTGGTGGAGTGTACAAGGTCATGGGTTGCTACATGTTACTGCTAAGGTTGTTTGAAGAGGCTGATATTCTCTCTTGTGTAACCATATCCAGTGTGAAAATATGCATTTTGATTAACTGAACAAAAACTGGGGAAAATGATTTTTATGGAATATTCATTGTTTCACAGTCCCTCTCAAATGGAAAGGAAAGCAAATTGTCACTGTATTTCTCCCCAACAAGAAGCAGAGACATGACTTGATTAATACCAGATGATTAGTTTCACTTTGGTATCCAGAGTCAATCTAATTGCCAGGCCAGTATTTTTTTACCAGCTTTTTTTTTTTCCATTTGATATACCTTATAATAAAAAAAATCCCGATAAACAGGGAAAAAAGCTATCTAACTAAGAATGTCAGGAGGTGGTAAATGTCACATCAGGGACGACCCTAAACATGTCATTTCCACCTGTACTGAAAAGAAAAGTGGGTAGGATCTGGTGGCAGGAAGAAAGCTGTTAAGAATGCCATCTTTAAAGAATTTCACTCTTAACTTAATAAACCAAACTGCCGGTGTGAAGACCTGCTTTCACTATAAGGCAGATAATGCGCTGCACTTACAAACACTCCCGTATGACCATCCCTGGCCTAGCTACCACAGAGAAGGGTGTCTACACAGTGTCCAAATGAGAAAGCTGGAAGCAGTTCCTTCCCACAAGTACAGCTGCCTTCAGAGGTCAGCCCCAGCCTCGGTAATACGCTGCGGAATTCCAAACCACAGAGGATGCACTACCATGACAAAAGGGAGGAACGATTTTTTGCTGGTTTCTCATTTGGCATTTAATACCAAGATGCCTACATTCTATTTTTAGAGAAGGAGGGGGGGCTACCACGTCTTTAAAAGTACTTAATTCTCAAGTCTTGGCCTTTTTGGGAAGGGCTGGCTTCCTGGGAGCTTGCTTCTTCTGGACTTGAGAGAGGTGGCCCAGAGCACAGCCCTGCTGGAGCCTTGCCTTAGGCAGCAAAGCACGCTGCAGGGAAGGCGCCCTCGGAGCAGAAGCAATGGCAGGGCTCCTGCGGAGGTGGGGGACAGGGGCCCAACCACCAGTTCTGTTCTCTGTGCTCCTTTGCCCAGGGTTAACTCTTCGTGTGCCCGACCCCTCCGGCTGGAACCCCCTGGCGTTTCGCAGTGGTGTCTCCTCCACCAGGAACCCTGGCTTGGCTCCGGGGACGCCCAGTGGCTGCTACCCCTCTACGGCCCGGGGATCCCCCCCCACCTTAGGAACCCGCGCCCGGGGGCTCCGGACAGAGACGCAGCGCCCGCCCCCTCCCCCGCCTGCGGTGGCCACTTCCCGGGAGGAGGTGGAGAGAAGCAGCAGGGCACACTCTCAGGACAGGGAGCCCAGGCAGGACACGGAGCCCAGACACGCGGGACCTGGCAGCAGAGGCCGAAAGTGGAGGCGGAGTGGGGCTCCACGGGAGCCGGCGACAGCGCGGGTTGGCCACCGGGCTTGCCTGGAAAGCCGGCGCCACGGTCATCCGTGGCCAGCACTGGGCGGGCAGCGGATCCATGAGCCCCGTCCGACACCCCACCTGGCCAGCCCCGGGCGCTTCTGGGCCCAGATCCCTCGGCCACTGCTGGTAGCCGATCTGCACCAGCTGGGTCTCCCCAGCGTCCCTGCGGCCGCCGCCCAGGCCGCAGAGGAGCCTTGTTTGCCGCCTCTTTGCCCGCGCCCTCAGTCCCCGCGTGGACAAGTTCCTGGAGTCCCGAGCGGAGCTGGACACGCTGGCCCAGCAGTGGTACAGACATCCCATGGACCTTGACTTTGGCCCGCAGGCACTCCCGCCCCCCATCCCTGCTGCCTTCGAAGTGGCGTCGGGGAAGGCGGCTCAGGCTGGTGGCGACAGCCTGCGGCTGCACGCACCACGCACCTCGGGCTCTCCGGGTCTCTGGGCCCTGGATGTGGGGACTTCGGCTCTCGCGGGACCCCAGCTTGGACGCTGCATGGCCGCGGCCCTAAAAGCGCCCCAGTCCTTACCTGGGCGTTGGGTAGAAGCTGCGTGAGGACGGGGAGGCTGAGCCTTGGCTCCACCAGAAACAAGTTCAAGGGCAGCAGGCTCAGAGCAAAAGGGGGCTCGGTCCAGCAGCGGGGACGGTGAGCCACCAAGTCAGAAGGCAGGTTGGGAAGGATGCTTGATGTGCAGGCCTTCCCCGCACCTCCCTATAATTGGAAATGTGTTTGTAAGGAGTGCAGGATTCTAGCAATCCGACGGGACGACCCACTGAAAAGACTGGAATCCAGAGACCCCAGGAGAAAGAATGGGACCGGTGTGGGCATTCCCCAAATATATACCCTTCTAGAGTCACCCAGTTTATTTATTCTAAAATGTGCTGAACCCCTTCGTCATGTTTATTGTGAAGCAAGGCAACACAGACGAGGGGGAGGGAAACGGTTTCTCTTGAACAAAAATCAAAGGCGAAGACCGGAGTCCATAATAAAACCCTGCAATACTAGGAGACAAAACAAAGTCGTTCAAACCTGACTTTCCTTAAAAAGAAAAAAAATAAGAAAGAAAGAGACAGAATAAAAGACAAACTACAAAGGAAAGAAAGAAAAACAACTACACTGGAGAAGAAATATTTTTACCCTCCCTAGAGCAACAAACCGTTTATCAAAAATCTACCCCATCCCCCCACCTCCTTTCACCATTCCTACAAACTCTTGGCTCCATTATCTTACACTTGAGCCGAAAATCGTTAGAAATACTTGGAAACGGAATAATCTGTCACCTTCTTACGAAAAAGCTAAAAATAGCACACAAACCAACTTGACGTGGGTGCTAGTCCCTCTTTTCCAAGGGCTCAGCATGGAGGGGGAGGTGGGAAGTTACACATGGTAAGGTGAGGACTGGATAAAGGAACATCAATGACCCATTCCGGAAGGATTTTATACACCCCCTTCTCACACCTTTCTTCAGTGGTAAACTTTATTACCCTAAAGCATGTCCAGCTTACAAGTACTGCCCTCTTTTTGAATGAAGAATTTGTTTTCTACTAGATGGAATGGGATATGCAAGTGGTTCACTCAAAGCAAAAGATGGTTGGAACACAACTAAAATCCCCAAACACCCTTCCAAATTTGGGCTTAATGCATTCATTCCAAGGTAGATTTTATTATGATAAAAATGAGAAGCACCTGCATAAATTTTTAATGCAATTAACACTGCACAGGGGAAATTTGATCTAGGATTAAAATGAACTAACCTGCACTGAATTATTAAGCCTCCATTCCTTAAAAAAATCTGTAAGATGCTACCTTCACTGACATGGTTTGCAAGAATAAATGCCCTTCCTACAGTATGGAATAGAGTTTCCAATAGGGTAAGGAAAGAGGGAAGTAAAGATTCTGTCCTTTTCTAACTTGCAGAAAACTGGCTCTGTTTTTTTTTTTTTTCCTATTTTAGATTCAAGGTACAAGTCAAAGGTCAAGTTGTTCAGATAAATATACTATTTATATTAAAGGGATTCTTGATGTATACTGTATGTGGAAGGAAAAAAAAGGCATGGATTTTAAAGCAACCAAAACTGATGGGCTACATACATGGGAGCCAGTGCTCCTGTGCTCAGACCACGGGCTCAGGGGTCCACATTGCCCCGACCTTGGGACCAACCCTGGTGACCCTGGACACATGGCAGCACCTGAGAGACAGCAACCTTGGGGGAGGAAAGGGAGGTGAGAGCAACCAAAAGCTTGAAGGGAGTAGAGGAGAGAAAGAAAGATTCTGAAGAGTTAACAGAGTTAACCCTGGCAGGTAGAGAGGCCCGGGAGGCCTGGAGCCCAGAGCAGAGCCAGGCAGCCTCCATCATAGGGGCAGTTCCACATTACTTGTGGTTTTCCAAATTGATAACTCCCCTTGCCAGTCTTGTACTACCCTCTCCCCACTACACACCCGTTTCTAAAAGGTGTTTTATTCACAGTTTTGTTTATATTAGAGTTTACAGTCTATGCTCTACAACATCACACACAAAAAAGAAAAAAAAAGCTTGCATGTAACTTTTCCTCTATTGTTTGTTTGGAAAGCTTTTTAGTCTGGTCTCAACTCAACTTCCAGCACATTATGGTACACTCTGTATGTTCTAAGTGAACACATACTCAAACCTATTTTTTAACTCGGCAGAGAGAATGTTCTTACTCTCAACAGCCTTAGCATTGCATCACACAATGAAGCAATCCTTTGCATCGAGGTCGACCAAAGCAGACAGTTTCAAGGAGATACATACACATACACACACTACATGCACACAAGCAAACACCGCCCTTTAAAGCACTCCCTACCGACCCCCACCCCATTTTCACTCCTTGGCTCACTCAATTACTAGTTTTCAACAGGTTTCCAAAAGTTTCGAATCATGACCAGTATTCTTCATTCCTACACTCTAGTGTGGGAGGCTGATGGATTTCTAAACTGGACTGATTAAACGCTTCATGGAGCTACTTGGACCGGGTACATTTTGTCCTTCCGACCTCGCAGGGGACTTACAGAACTTCCTAGCACACAATTTACAGCCCAGTTACCATCAGAACGAACTCCTCCTTTCAACAATATTATGCAACCTGAAACATGCAACCATGCAACGCTGGAACCGCTGGAACCCTTCAGATGGGACTTGGCAGGCCAAAGGGCAGAGAGGACTGCAGCCTGCAAGTCGGGCAGCAAAGGGACCTAACCGCGCAGAGACGCGGGTGGTATGGCTCCGACACAGTGAGGACTCTTTCCTTCCTGTCGCTTCACCAGTTACTAAGGATTAGTGAGGTGGAAACACATTAAGGTGCGGAGCATGGGGGTGGAAAAGACAGAAGGTCGAGTCTGCAAAACATGCGGGTAAACGCAGCCATACCCCTGGCCCAGCCCGGTCCAGCTGCCCTGGACACACGCCACGCGCCTATCCTTGCACTCAGGGGACAGACAACAGTCACACAGCACTGACAACACGCAGACGACAACGGCGAGGTACACTCAACACGCGAAAGGACAGACTCCGCCATTGCTAGACGGTTGCCAAGCTGCAGCGGACAGGAAAAGCTAGCCAGTTCCTGGCCCCCTTCCTTCAAAGCACATTTACCTAAACGTCGCAGTTTGTGTCCGGGTTATTCCTGCTCCACTAAAAGATATGTCAACGCAGGAATCGTGGGTGCGCGCGGGTGGGCCGGGCGGGGAGCCTCCCCTTCTGGATCTCGTCGGTTTTATTTCGGGAGCGGGAGGGGGAGGAGGGAGGGCTGCGGAGGAGGGGAGGGGAATCCCAAATTAAAATAACCCCCAGTTATGAGGACGTTCGGTGGCATCGGATATTCACACTAGCAAGTCACATTACATTCGCCTTCGCCAGATGGCGGCGGGTTCAACTTCCCGGGATCTCGCAAAGTCAGGCTGTGCGCCTAAGCGCGCGCCGCAGTGTGGGCAGGCGGGCGGCCCGGGACAGCCTGGAGCTGCGGCCAGGGCGGGGGCGCGCGCCGGGCTCACCGGTTCCGGACGAGGAGGTCTCCGTCCCCGGGGAGCGGCACCGGGCAGTCCCGGCGCAGGGTGACGGCCTCGCGGAAGTTGGGGCTCAGCCGAGTCACCACCAGCTTCTGCATGGCTCGGGGGATGGCGGAGCCCTGGAAGTCCAGGAAGTGGCGGGCGTACGACAAGTCCACGATGGCCCGAGCCCCGCCGTGCGCCAGCCGCAGCATAGCCCTTGCTCGCCTCCGCCCGCTCTCCGCGCTGAAGCCGGCGGGGTCACGCCCAGCCTGGGCCGCC